TTTCTGCTTTTTAATATTGCATTGTCATCCACTTCAAGTCTAGTTGATCCGGAAGTTAGTTTAAAATCAATTGCAAAAGTACCGAACAGACGAACACACAGACAAGAAAGCGAGTTAATATTGCATTGTCATCCAATTCTAAGCTATGTTTAAAATTTCAAGTCTCTAGGTCAGCGGAAAGCCAGTTTAAAAATTAAAAACAGTTGCAAACAGACAAGATTTGTTCTGAACAGACAGACAACAAAAGGATTTAATAAAAACGTAGTAAAATACTGGTACAAATTCTTGGAATCCATAAAACTGAATATATACAATGTATATACACNATATTGTTCATGTTATTGTTGCTTAATGAAATAAATGGTTAAGACTTTTGAGATCACCACATAATTTATTTCAATTACAATCAATATACCTTGCAATGAAAATTTAGTCTGCTTAACTTGCGCTCTTTTGTAAAAAGCACGCAGTCCACGGTAGGTTTTTTTGTACGGAGTGGGCAGTCCATGGCGCACGCTAAACGTCAGGCAAATCAGCGCTCAAAGGGTTAATATCGGTGGTTAATAAAAATTTTCTTTAGATGTTATAAAAAAGTTATTTATAAACGGAAGAAGGAATACCATTCGTGTGTGAATAAACCTGTGAATCAATGTAGATTTTTATGCTCCTTTATTCTTTACAAATACTGCATCTCTGCTTATTTGATAACTATCGTAAAAAATAAGACACTATCAATGTTTCTTTAATTATAATATACCACCGTTTTTAAAACGGACTAAAAAGTATAAAATAATTATAAAATACTTGTAAGGTTTAAAACGACAAACTTTATTCATGCATCAATTATCTATTGCATGCGCCCCACGTTTGTTGTTTTAAAATTCTACAAGTATTTTATAATTATTTTATAGTTTTCAGTCTGTTTCAAAAACTTAGTATATTAAAAATTATTTTTATTTAAATAATTATTTTCTGCTTTTTAATATTGCATTGTCATCCACTTCAAGTCTAGTTGATCCGGAAGTTAGTTTAAAATCAATTGCAAAAGTACCGAACAGACGAACACACAGACAAGAAAGCGAGTTAATATTGCATTGTCATCCAATTCTAAGCTATGTTTAAAATTTCAAGTCTCTAGGTCAGCGGAAAGCCAGTTTAAAAATTAAAAACAGTTGCAAACAGACAAGATTTGTTCTGAACAGACAGACAACAAAAGGATTTAATAAAAACGTAGTAAAATACTGGTACAAATTCTTGGAATCCATAAAACTGAATATATACAATGTATATACACAAAGGACATATTTATACATTTTATGAATGGTATTTTACTTTTATTTCATCGTGATATAACTTTTTATCCAGTTTTTTTTTTTATATATGTACAATTATCTCTTATACAAGAAATAAAATTACTTCAATTACATTTGTATAAATTACGTTATTTATTTCGTACAATCGTGTCACTAATTGTAAACCTATCATGCATCAGTCAAATGACCGATTACGAATTCTTTTATAAGAAATAAAAAAAACGAAATTTGTTTACATACTGTTAAGAAATGTATTACATTATGTTCATTTGAGTTTAAGTTTGGAACTTATCCAACCATCGGAACCATCCACGTTATTTTCTACAATCTCATTTCAGGCTGTGCTATTTTATTGTTTTAATTTGAAAGGTTCCTAGGCTAATTAATTTCGTATGTGTTAATTATCGTACATTCGATGAAACTGAAGGATCTGAATATAATGTGTTAATAATTCAAAGAAACAGTATGCTATTCCGAGATTACGTGGAATGTTATATAAGGTATAATTCGTTTTTTAAGCGAATAATCCGAAGCTGTTTATGTACATAATCCCATATATAGATATTCCTTTCTTCATTTCTTTACTTTTGTATAAGTTTCCTTGTAGAAGTTGTAAAACAAGTAGAAATTGACTAGTACATCAAGCAGCGTAACAAATCCGAGATTTCTGTTTGAAGAACTACCAGCGATGCATGCTTGTATTACGTAAACTATCATAATTACAAATTGCACCTATTTGGAAAAATGATAATTAAAACAAATTATATAAATGTTTTTATAACTTCATAACTTGTGTAGGACAACAATTTTTGCTTATTAGTTTATAATTGTAAATATATGATTAATATTTTGTTACTTACCATTTGTATGAGTGTAATGTAAGGCTTAATCGGTCTTAGTACACTTGTCATCGTCTCACCGAAGGATGAAAGTAAGTAATAACTGTACATTATCACATGTACGCCACAATTAAGTACTATCAGTGTCAACGCAAGTTCATACGTAAAGTATCTTGCGTACAGCCAACTTATCCAAACCGTTGTTATGTGATGGTATATATGCAGAAACGAAATTTGGTTTTGCTTTTTCCTAAGGATAAATATACCTGTCTCGACCAAATCGATAGCTTTCAAGCCGAGTCCCGCCCATGCTACATAAGCGATCTACGACACAAATGCTTCGTTAAAATTGTAATAAGAATGTTACTTCTCATATATTAGAGTTACTTGCAAATGCATGCATTTTTAATTACACTGTCCAACACAAAAAAAATTTTGCAATATCCATCATGTGATTCTTATAGACATTCTTGTACCAAACACGAATCTGTATTACGTACCGTTTCCGAAAAAACATTGTTTTTGTAAAAATGCATGATTCTCGGGAAGAATAAGGTATTACAGGAAAACTAAGAGAGCGAGGAAGTTCATTTGTAAACCAAAAGATAGAGGAAACTTTCTACAATATATTCATGTAAATCACTCTTTGTATTCGTACTTCTTAATAGTTGTAAGTAATGGTCGAAGTTCGAAAAAATACCGATGCAAGTACTTTACACGTACTATTTTTGTATTTATATGAAAATCTCTTTGCCTAGGAAGAATTTGCTGCACAGTATTGGATTCTACAAACATTTTTGATAAAGAAGCCATTCAATATGAATACCTGTGTGCATTGGTACCTCGGCAATTTACCAAAATATTAATCGACATCACGGCTAGTTGCGCGGTATTTGTGGTGCCCTATATTGTGGTACCCTTTTAATAGTTATCTGCTTTTTATGAGTATTACGATCCGAATTCAGATTTGTATGAGCATATTTCTATATGTGTTATACAATCTAATACATAATACTCATAAAAAGCAAATAGCTATTAAAAGAGTACCAGAAATATATCGGACACGCATATCTACATACGTTAGTGGTGGACCGCGCGACTAGTTTCTTTATCAGAAATGTTTGTAGAATCCAATATTGTGTAGCAAATTCCTCCCAGGCAAAGGAGTTTTCACATAAAGAACAGTACATGTAAAATACTCGCGTCAGCACTTTTTCAAACGTCAACCATTATTAACAACTTACTTACTATTAAGAAGTATGAATGCAAGGAGTGATTTACAAGAATATATCGTGGAAAATCTCCTGTATCTTTTGGTTCAAAAATGAACTTCCTCGCTCTCTTAGTTTTCCTGCAATACCTTATTCTTCTCGAAAATCATGCATTTTTATAAAAACAACGTTTTTTCAAAAATGGTACGTGATAGAGTAATTCTGTTTCCAGATTCGTGTTTAGCACGAAGAACTATAAGAATCACGTGATGGATATTGCAAAAAATGGAAAAGTTTTTATTTGTCGGTTAGTGTTATTAACAAAGATACATTAAACAAGAATTAGGATATTTTGTTATTCCTTATATTGTTCATATACTATAATATGCACAATATATTTGCTGAGTTATTAATTATACCTCTGGCAAGTGGGCTTTCAATTCTAGGTTTCTTTCAGTTCTTGTGTATATGAGATTGTCTATTCCCCATCCATATCTTATTAAAGTATACACGTTCCATGCATTTACCACGATTTGTGAAATGTTAAAGTATCTGATGAACGTTTTGAGTTTGTATGCAGGTTTATTTTGCATGTATTTCGGTCCACATTTCAAAACGAAGTAGAGATATGAGAATGTGATAAAGGCAAGTGGCAGAGCAGAATTTTTAAATATCCAATTTTCTACCACCAACTCTGTAGGATACGTATAACAATTTAAAAATCTTTTATTGTACTCCTCGAACAAAGTTTGTGTAACCTCCTTACTTACTCTCCGCAGTTTGCACATGTATATCCAATTCTGACCGAATCATTGTAGTTCCTTTAGTGATCGAAACAAACTGCAGAAGCGTTCACTACGACGTCGGGTACTGATCGAAAGATGTACGGACTAATGTGCCCATTATATACGACGAATTCATGTATACGGAATGATGCATTACGCAGATTAAATTTAAATTTCAGTGAACTTAAATGCTTCTGTATATTAAGTACATTTGTTTTTTCATTTCCAGCGGATTTCTCCGCTATAATACTCATTCTTTACGTGTAATATGTGAAGTTGACGTATAAAATTGGTACATTGAAAAGACGTCATTGTGTAATGAATTGATTATGGATATGAATCGCTATTTGATGAAAAAAGGTTACTTTTTACTAATTGTGCATGACTCTGAACAATGGACAAAATATAATTATATCTAAATCATAATAAAGACGTATTCAAAAAGCAAATAGTTATGCGAACATCGATTTACATAAATTATGTATACTATTGATTTACGTAAGAATTAACTTTTGACCTATTGACTATCATTATCATTCGACGTAATCTTGATTAACGTAGTTGTAGAACATTGTATGTTACTACGTATGAAGTAATAATTTTTCCGTATGCTATGACTGAATAATCCAAGGACGACTAGACAGTTATATTCAATTTAGAACACATAATTACGCATAGTACATATTTAAAATGGTAAATAAAAGATGACAAAGATTTAGTTATTTGTGTGCCAATGAATTAGGCGCGAGTGTTTGTATATTCGGACCGCATCATGACTTATCGGCTCTGAACGATAAATATAAAATGCTCGTAATATGTTTTGTCGTGTATCCCTTATTTATAGAGCTATTCGTTTGGTTTACAGATACGGTGCTTGTGCAGCAAGTAGATTTTCTAGAGACTATTTTAGAAGAAACATCAGACGATCTGCAAAGTGACTCCGATCGAAGTGGGACTACCTATTGGGTCGGTTCAGACTCCGAGACCGAAAGTGTGATACATATACGAGCAAAGCAGAGAGGTAAGACTGGCAATGATATTGTCGTTTTCAATGTGTTCCTCTGATCGTTGCGCGTGCTACGTTCGATTAAACAATAGCTCTAAAAATACCCAAGCGTTTAGACTAGACGGCCGAATGTCAATTTAGCAGCTAATTTGGAACACGGTGGCTATGTGCCACGTGCTTCATTATCTTTTAATGAGCGGTGAAACAATTTAGTGATTGCAATGAAAAAAATAATTCGCAAGACATTGATAAATCACGAGGAATTATTATAAAAGGAAAATATTTAAATAGTAAAATTCCCAGTTGCCATATCATGAAATACTTTAAAATACGACTACTCATAATGAATTGAATGCAGCTTTATCGGATGCATATCAGTATTCAACAAACGTATTGTACTGGCCGCTAATTAAAACAGTCTACGTCTACCTACACTACGTCGTTCTTCGTATTGGATCCACGATCGTTCACGTACCAGATTCCTTCGGTTATGCGACCAACGCGACGTGCTGGTATGTCCGGTTGCAATTCTTTAGGCGTCGCGACTGCATTTCATGCGCTTCGCTTTTTGCAACAGCCGTTCATCGAACTCAAAATGATCCTTCATCGAATCGATCGGTTGCATTTTCGCCATTGAGCTATATAAAATATCATATAGCTCAATGATTCTCGCTGATTAATTCTCTTTCACAGACAACTTTGCGTGGATCTAGCATCCGATGCAGGACAATTGAAAAATGAATTATAAATGAATGGCCGCATTCGATTCGCGTATGTTTGCTTAGATATATTTTAATGATAATTACGCAGTAGTTGCATTCAAGAATTATTATATATGTATAATTAGTACGTTATGTTCAAAGCTATTCGCGCGAGGAATTTTTGGTTGTGCTGTTACTTAATTGCCTTCTAAGTTGAAGCAAGAATCGGATAATCTGGACATGCTTTTTATAAGCTTATTGCAAATGCCGTTTCTTCAATGTTAAGATCAAGCAACAGTATCTAGAATTCCACGTACACCTCTTTTACATCTAATATTAGATCACCTTCAACGTGATTCATATAGAATTACCATGGACTAGCTGTTAAATTCCGCGTGCATGCAATCATACAAAAATAAACCGATAGAACAACGTGCCGTAGAATAAATTCAGTTGCTACTGTTCGACCTGCAAAGAATTTTCAGTTGGCTGACGGGACGAGATCCTGTCAGCTATCAAATTGCAATACCACATCAATTTATTTTCTCGTGTTACTTGGTTCTTTTTTATTAAATGAACACAGACTGAGATTTGTAAAGATGTATGACTTTTCAAATATTCTACAAACAGAGCGGGACGCAATGTTAAATCTAATAAGTGTGAGCAATTACATAATTTAGAAAAAAAGAGATAGGCATTATCTTGCCTCGTGTAATAGATTTTCATCGCATTAGAAACTTGGTGAAAAGGCTGTCCGTTTGAGGATTCCATGGTTCGCGGCCCAGTTTATAAAATCGAGTCACGGAAGTGGGTCTTCGGCCAGCCAATCGTCGCGTGTTTGCGCCACTTTTAAGGGACTTTACACACAGTCCGTGAATCCATAACGTTCTCAATATTCTTGGATATCGGACTTCGCACAGGAGAGGAAAAAAATTATCTTGTGCATTAATTAATGAGTCGACATTATTTTTTTCCGTCAATACTAAATATTAATTTATAACTGGTCTCGTGCATACTTCTTATGTATTTTTATACCTCCGGTCTGTAGCCAGGAAGTTATAGAAGTCGAACCGGAAGCCACGCTTACGCGGTCACCGGTTGTCGAGTTCGTGACCGTCGTTCGACACGTGATCGGTGACGCGAGCCATGGTAACGGGCTCGTTAATCGAGAGACGACACGTTTCACGGCATGATCTATCCAATAGCGACGCTATCGCAAGGGCGATCGGCCGTTTAATAGCCTGAATTTGCATTTTCATCGCCACAGTCACGGTTTTCGCGCGTGAAAATCAATTAATTCCAATGTCAACGCACGTGTTGCTCAGTTGGATACTAGATTTCCTTTTATCGACAAAAGTGAAGCGCGTTTCATTTTCAAATTATGTGTTCAAGATCTTTTTAAAATTACATAGTGCCACTCACTTTTAATCTAATCCTGCCCAAAAATGTGTAAATCATCAAACATTTGCTTCTTAATGAGTAATTAAACAGTAGTCTGTAGATCTTCTATTAGCTAGCCAAAATTAGTTTTCGTTTAGTACATTACTTTGGACAATCAAATATGCTTTCGTTGTTGTCGAGTCAATGTAGCAAAATCCCGACGAATCAGCGCAAACAGTCGTTGCGGTCGTCGGAAAGTAGGTGTTTAGGCCAAACGATCACTATCACCGAGCGATCGTCTCGCTTTTACTCTCCCAATACAAGGAGCGATTATAGGCACGTATTCTCGCAGCCTTTTTTCCCCTTCGTTAACCGTCCCCATCTTTGTTGCTGATTTCTCGGAAAGGCGAGCGGCTCGATGGGAGCGGTAGCGAGTGCAATTCTGTGGTGCCAAAGAAGAGGCGTCGCAAGCACAGCGGTAACGATCGGGAGCATCACGTGAACTTCGATGAGTTTCCGGCGTCGCCGAGGTCCTCCAGATCGTCGGCTTCTTCGAGATCCAGCTCCCTATTGCAATTCGAATCTCTGGAGAGGACTTGTGCCACATTGTCGCCATCGAGCTATAGTTTCGACTCGTTGGAATATCCTAATCGATCGAACGCCTCTCATCACGGGAACACGTCTCCGGACAGCCTCGAGCAAGACTACGACAAGGTACTGCCGAACGGTTTCGGGGATATCGCGGATCACTTCCCCAGGATCAGACCTTATCGTAGCTTCGAGAGTCTGGACACGTGTCAGAAGGAAGAGGACTTTGACCACGGTGGCCTGACTAATGGATTCACACCCTTGTACCTGAAACGAAATGCGGATCTATCGAAAACGAGAAGCAACGGTTACCACCGGCCAAGGTAAAAATACTTATAACCGAAATATGCAATATAAATTATATTTATAACCGAAAAATGCAACCGCGTTATAAGTATGACTTATTTAGCAAACGGTTAATGTTTTCCTTTCCATTATTTCACGTGCTCTCTATTGTAAAGCTCTGACTAAAGGTTTAATATAACGTGCAACAGCTGCCCGTTTATGATTTTTGGCACGCATTTGCGTATGTTATCTTCTAATGGTTTTTCACAGTGGTTAGGTGAGCGCGAAGGACTATGAATAAAACAGTTATTTCGGATAGTTTAATCACGCTGGTTGCAGTTATCGGAGAATTTTTACGTCCGTTTACAACATTATGCGTAAGATGAAGAACGTTTTGCGACAGGAGGTCTCAGGATTTCCTGGCAACGTTCGACGAGCCCGACAGTTTGCTACATGACCCTCGTTTTCTGGCCAAGTTACCGCAATCACGACCCTGAATAGACCTCCTTGACTTTTACTTTTATTCAAGGAAGATCCGAAATTACGCGCGTGAATGTCTCACTGTCTGATTGTCCTATTGGGCCACGTGTACCGTAGACGGTTATCTGCCCCGTGCATTAATGTCGTGCTTAATTGTATTCGCTGCCGCGACAATCCCTCGCTTCTGAATCCGAAAGATGCATACTAACTAAGAATAGACACGCGGTTTTTAAGTTTCACCTTCTTGAGATATAATGCATAGAACCTAAATCGTTATTATATGCATTCGGGACATTCTTTTGCGCGCTTCAGGGACTTTTGGCACGAGGACGAAGAATACGAAGACGATGATGACGACGACGACGATGACGACGACGACGACGACCTCGATGAGGAGGACCGAATGTCGAACGATAATCGAGCCGCTTGTGAGCTTGAGGATCGACTGATGGTTTTCGGTGACTCTGCGTGCAACTACGCGACGTCTTTGGACTATCGGAATACGATTGACCTGCGCGAGATCGGCGTTGAATCGAAGAGAGACACGTTGTTGGACTTGAAGTCCGGCCAAGCGACCGTGTCGAATTCACTTCGTCTGCTGCAGACCAGGTTAAATATAGCTGGCGGCAGTATGGCGCACGGGCGAAACAACATGGTCGCCGATCATCATCATTACCACCATCATCAACAACAGCAGCAGCAGCAGCAGCAGCAGCGTCACGGGTACGAGGAGCAGCACGAGCTGCGGCAGCACCAGCAGCACCAACGTCAAGGGTGGAGCAAGGAGTGCTTTAATTTTAGATTCACGGAGAAATCTCAAAGCGCGCCCAGTCTGCCTAGCAGCGTCGACGAGTCAGCACAGGGTCCACGGTCGTTGGCAACTTCCTCCTCGAGGGCGACCTCCTTCGTCTCCACGTCGAATCTGTTCGAGAATTACACCCGGGTTGCGAGCGTACCCGTCGACTTGAATCTCTGCGGTGTCTATGTTGCACGGTACGATGATGCGCGAGTGAGTCCTCACGAGGAGAACGAAATGGCGGAAGTCACTAGTGTTCAGGCGAAGAAGCGGCTGGACAACGTCGAGGGGCTGCACCAAAACGGCGGTGAAAAACTGTTGAAGAACTTTCTGACAAGCTCGGTCAGAACTCAGGCACCGCAGAATACGATGATAGATGGCAAGAGGGAAAAAGTAGAGGATGAACAGAAGGAGGACGATGAAGAATGCGCAGGGGAACACTGTTCGAAACTGCAGCGGGAAGCGAAACAAATTACATCGACAGTGAAGACGCAAGATCGCAATTGCGTGCTCGATATGGCGATAGCAATGGAGAACAACATTGACGACGCGGTCGACGACATGATTAAACAATTCAAACGCGAGGTCGAGGAGGCTACCTCGAATGCCAGCAGTGCGCTATCTGGTACCGATAGCATTCAGAGAACTCCTTCTGGTAAACAGCGACCGTGGAAGGTAATGAACAACGCCAGTTACGAGCTGGCTCAGCAGTTCGAGATCGACGAGAAGAATTTCCGACCGAACAGAATCCGGAAAGAAAATGGTGACGAGAGTGGAAAACCTCAAAAAATCGGACGGAAACGTGTATTGAATAACGCCAGTTACGAGTTAGCCCAACAATGCGATTACATCAGCGCTCTTCAAACTTCCAGAGGCGCCTTTCAGAGAATGGATGCTTGTGACGAGCTAGAGGAATCGATCTCGGGACGATCCTCCCGACTTAAGATCTCCGACATGGTGCATCAGATGAGCAGTAGCTCGACGTCAAATCTCGCTAGCTATCAACACGAACCGTATTTGGACACGAGGAGATATTCCAAGTCAACGGAGAATATTTCCACGCAATTTTCCAAGGGTCCGTTCACCAGGATCCCGATCAATGAGTTGGGCCAGCGACTAAAGAAGCAGGAAGACGACCAATCATTTCTGAGTCAGATAAAAAAAAACTCGGATCCATTTTCAGCTTATGGAGACGATACTAGTGGTCCCGCGTTAGTAGAGGACGAAATAGATTTTCCCTGCTTGGAAATCAAACCTATAGGAACTTCCAGCTTGGAGGGGGGCGTACCACGCGAAGAAACAAGCGTCCAGAAACTTCAAGAACAACCATCCCCGATACACGAAAACGTCACATCAAACGCTTCACATCGGACTTCGGACGCGCAGTGTCTGATGACCGCATACAACCCTGATCCATCCAACGAGACGTGCTCCTCAAAGAAATCTTTCATCGGTAACCCTTACCCGGAAAAAGTCGCGCGATTGCAGCAACCGTCGAAGGAGGAGGCTCTCGCAGTTCAACACGACGGAAGCGGCGGTGAGAGCAAAAGACCTCCGGCTCGCAATCACTTGTCATCAGGTTCGCCGTGTAACAGCGGTACGAATACCGGAGAATTGCTGTGGAGGGTCATAGTAGAAAAGCAGGCCGCGGAGAAGGAGGTTTCCGCGGAGAAGGTTACGATGAAGAAGAAGGACAGGGAGGTGGAGGAGGAGGAGGTGGAGGAGAAGCGGAATAACGAGAGAGAAAAGGAACCGATGGAGAAGGAGGCAGCGGAAGCAGCGAGGGGACACACTGTCCACGGTGTTCGTTCTCCCCCACCAAGCGGTGGCAGCAATAGCGACGGCCTGGAACCCGGTGAACGTAGTGGGAATCCAGTGGTGGCCGTGGCAGTTGATACGAATCATCGCGACAAACGTCACGAGGAGAACGCGGCGGCAGCAGTAACAACAACAACAGCAGCGCCGGTCAGGTTAAACGACGGCCACGCGACGACGACTATGTCGACGACTACCACAACGAAGGCACGGCCGTTCGTCACGGCGACCACCCCGAACAATGACGTTACGTCCGGGGCTAGATTCGCTAAGGAGGAAAGGAAAAAGGGTGGTCTCGGTGGATTTCTTCAGCGATTCTCGAAGCTTCGTTTCAGTGGTAGATCGAAAGTGCCGCGCTCCGAGGTGCAGAAAAAGAGTGACATGATCGGTCATGTGAATCGCGCGAAAGTGACTGAGGAGAAGGTTAAAAAGGAACCAGACTATATCATCATCCCGTTGCATCCCCCGGAGGAGGAAAGACAGAAGGTACAGCATAATGTGGCACCGGGGACCAGGACGGACAGCGGAACCGACAGACCCGTCGCCGAAGTTCAACGAAGCGTCTCCAATATTAGGTAAGGCCTTCTATTCTGATATGAAATAAGCTACTATCTCTTATCCAGTTGGATAAACGGATAAACGGTTTGCTCGTTCTGAACGAAAATTTGTTCAAAAGTCGGACAATATTTGAGTTTAATCACAAATCTGTTATCGGCCGGAATTTCAATTACGATTTCTGATTGCAATTCCAATATTAGTAGACTGTCAAGACATTAAAGAGTGTAGAGCACTATTTCCATGACTTCTCTTCTGTTATATATTAGTTTCTCTTAATTGAAACCATATCCGGTTAAGAGCCTACTGAGTATTACAGTTTAAAGGACAATTCACTGTTTTATGTACTCATTTTCTTCGTTTCTATTGCTGGTAAGGAGTAAGGGGCATCGCGTTATATGCCGCCGATCGCGTTGACTTTGACCTCAGCAATTGTTTACACAGTTTCGCGCGACGATATACATGTAGGAGCAGCATGAATCACGGTTTGTGCCACCTTCTATGGCTTCCACGTATAAATATTTATTTCTCAACCATGTCGGCACCATTTTCAATTCCGCTGTCGTTTATTTGATCGTTCTCAGTACAATGTACTGAGAGACAACGAACGGTTATTACGGGAATTATTCGCACACGAGAGACAATAAACGGCGAATCATGGTTTCTTTCGTTCGTAAATTGGCATTCAATGTAAAATCAGACGCAGGCATTGATTTCAAACCCAGAACGTGGTACAGCTTATATAATTAGTAGATTATAAAAGTAGTTAATAGCTGTAGGTACACATGTAGCCTTGATTTTCTGTGTGTAAGCTTGTCGCATTACTGTCAACATTTGCATATAACATCTTCAAGCAATTCATGTTCGTGCTTATGCAATGTCTATAGTGATTAATAATGATATCATTACAGTGTCACAAGATATTTGACAATTTATTGGTATCTATCACAGTACATTATGCTTATTACATGTAATTACAAGATTTGAGGTACATGAAATATACATAATTATTTTGAATATTGTAACTCTTGTGTACAACATACGAATTGGTTTCCGCGATGCGTTTAATGCGCGAGCATGTAACCAGCAACGAGGTCAGCGATACCGATGCAACGAGGCTTTCGTAATGGCGGCCAGAGTCGACGAACAGCCGCCGGAGTGGCGTGCTTCCACCCACTGCTCGATTACTCGTTCGTTTTAATATTTTTAAGCGACCAAAAGTCGAAAGCACGTGACTTTTTCTCTCAATTATC